ACACACACACACACACACACACACACACACACACACACACACACACTGAGAGAGAGAGTCCGTTAGGGTGCTCTGATTGTTACCCTGAGGTTTCATGGTTTGTACCTTGTTGCCACAACATGTCCTTTACACTTTGGGGCTGTGGATGTACTGTTGTGAAATCTTCCTATTCAGTCAAACAAGAGTAGACAGTGGGTGCTCTTTACAGGCTGCTTTATCATAAAGGTAATGAGGACCCTGAGTTTGTATGGAATCTCCATCTTGATGATGGTGGGAAGAACATTGGGGGGATGTTAATTACTCTAGTACATACTCTCTTGTAGAACTGAGAATCCTTGGTTTGTGCCTAGTTATCACGATCAACACTTTGAGTCTAAGAGTGATGATAAAATCCTATTATTTGATCTGACCAGAAGTTTGTATCGTTGACTAGCTGCCTTCTCTCTTATCTATCATATTAAAATGAATGATGGCTATCCTTCATGTAGCTTTGTGTGAAATTCAACAAAATAAATTTATTAAAAAGAACTAAGTACTGGTTTTCTTGTTAAGTCTGGTTCTTTGAATGTTCATGAGTGGTGCGAGGTCCCTGGACTTGTGGTTACTTTATTATTTGATGGTTATTTTTCTTTATGTGGATGACTGCTGTCTTCCATATTTAGTGAACAAGTCTCTCCAAGACATAACTCTTTTATACAGATGATTTTAGTTAGAATTGCTTGAAATAGTATTCTTCCTTCAAAGTTTTGAAGTTATCTCTGTTTCATGTTTGCCAGTCTTTCTGAATGAGTTAATTAAAGTGAAAGATAAATAATTTTGTTAAAGTAAATAACGTTATAATTTTTACCACTAATGTAGTTTGTAAATAACTTGTGTAAAGTTGATAATCTAGTTCGTTCAATCTTGTACCATCTGAACTATTATGTTTGTATCTCGGATGGTCCTGATGAGCTCTGAAATCGGGCTAAAGCCTGTCAGCATTGGATGAGGTAGACGTAATACGGTTGACATGTTATTACATATTAAAGCTGGACGTAGTAGACGTACTACGGTTGACATGTTATTACATACTAAAGTTGGACGTAGTAGACGTACTACGGTTGACATGTTATTACATACTAAAGTTGGACGTAGTAGACGTAATACGGTTGACATGTTAAAGCTGGACGTAGTAGACGTAATACGGTTGACATGTTATTACATACTTTTTTACTTTCACTCATAAGTTGAGC